TAAATGCTTACTTCAAATTGACGCTTTTTACTGAGGTCTTTTGCACTCGAACAATAATCGCCGAAAAAAGAAACGTGACACTGTTCAATTTTCAACAAAGGCATTTCTTGTTGTTTGACGTTAAAAATTTACCGGAAATGCGTGCGTGAGTTGTGAAGTAGAACCATAAATTTAATTATATTTATGACTTAATTTTGGAACTGCTGCCATTCATTCTTTTTAATAAAACCGAGTAAATTTTTTTTGCTTTTGGGAATGAACGGTTTTTTTAATACCCATACTTTTTCTAGGTTTTGCATTAATAGAAGATATTGTAGAGGTTTATATTCGTAGAGTGACTAGATAGGGCAGAACATCTTATACATTATACATAAAGAAAATTTTATACACATTCTTATTTTAGAGCTTTTTGTAACATGAAATTTCGAGTTTTCAAAAAACCCTTTTGGTACATCTATTCTGCACTCCATCGGTGACTCTCATTCCAAATTTCAGTAAGAAATTTTCAATGTCGAATATTAATAATTTTTGGCACATTAATTTGTTATGCCCACCGCAAACTGAAATCTTAAATTTCGGCTAATTCGATTGATAACATATGGTAAAAACCCTCCAAAGAAGTAAAATCGGGAATAGGGTTCTATGGGAGGTCTATATGAAGTGCTGGAATGATTTTCTCATTATTTTGCAGGGACATCAGACATCCATTAAGAACACCTGATGTCAAATTTCAGTTCATTTCAATTGAAAATTGACCTTAAATCTTTAAATATTTTTAGTCGGAGGGTACCGTTATATGGGGTTTATGCCTAAACGTTGAATAATCTTTAAAATTTTTTTGATTAAAATATTTTTTTACTTATTATGAGCTAATCTAAAAAATCGGATTCAATTAGTTGTATATCAATATTTTTGTCACACCTTCCCATACATGGTGGGCCACAGTGCATTGGAATATTTTTATACCCTCCACCATACTATGGAGGGTATATTAACTTTGTCATTCCGTTTGTAACTCCTCGAAATACTCATTTCAGACCCAAGTATATATATTCTTGTTCAGCGTCAAATTCTAAGTCGATTTAGTGATGTCCGTCTGTCTGTCCGCCTGTCTGTTGTATTCACGCTCGATCTTTCGATCGAATCGAGATAGAAGGCTAAAATTTTGCATACATGTTTATTTTTCCAGTAGGCAGGTTAAGTTCGTAAATAGGCCATGTAGGTCTACGTCTTCGTATAGCCCCCATATAAGTGTACCTCCCGATATTCGGTATTTTGATGATTTTAGCGAATTTCTTTACCGGAATCGTTTCGAATTTGGTATTTGAAGTTCGAAGGGGATACTGCAGCCTAAGACAGAAAATTGTCTGTGCAGGTCCACGTCTTCATATAGCCCCCATATAACGGCACATCCCGATATTCGGTATTTTGATAATTTTAGTGACATTATTCACCGGAATCGTTTCAAATTTCGTATTTGAAGTTCGAAATGGATACTACAGCCTAAGACAGAAAATTGTCTATGCAGGCCCGATATATCAGTATTTTGACGAGTTTAGGTACAATAACCACCGAAATTTTTTAAGATGTCGTATTTGAAGTTCGAATTGGATGCTACAGCCTGTGACAGCAAATTGTCTATGCAGGTCCAGGTCTTCGCACAGCTCCGATATAACGGTACCTCCCTATACACGATATTTTGATGATTTTAGCTACATTATTCACCGTTTATTTCAAGTTTCGAATTTGAATATGGTAATGGCTTATGACAAACAATGCCTATGTAGGTCCACGTCGTATAGACCCCAATAAAACGGCTATATTCGGTAATATTAAAATTTAAACAGAATTTTTTAAGGATTTTTTTGAAAATTTCCAAATTCGTTCCAAATGGTGCAGGGTACTCAAAGTTCGGCCGGGCTGCTTTTTAACTTTTTTTTAAATTGTCAAAGTTCTATGAGACGCCTTTGTGTCATAAGTGTCGCTAAGTTTTTTTGTACCATTATTGTTGGAATTATCGGAAGACCCCATTTAAAGTCCCTTTATGCCATAAGCGAACGTCATGAAAAATTGTGCGATTTTAGCTTTAGTTGTTTCCTCTGATCACTTTGTTTTGTTATGAATAGAGATTGTTTAAAAATGTAACAAATATGTACTCAGTTTTGCTCCCCACTGTACAGTGTACTCACACACATCGACAAAACAAAATTCACCCATCCTTCCCTCCATCCATTTGTTTATTTCAAATCTCACATCATTGCGCTGTGTGTCATTGCATTGTAAATTTTATTGTTCTGATTTACCATTGCATACTTTTAGGTCAAGTATAAATGTAAACAAATGGATTGCTGTATCTCTCTCCCTCCCTCTCTCTCTCCTTTTCTTACTCATTCATGTAAACAACAATTTATTGAATATCAAATACCCATCGTCGTCAACAACAAAGATTTTGACTGGAAATGTTGTTTCTTTATTTTTTAAAAAAAACTCTGGCGGTTTAATGCAGTAGTACCACCAACCAACCCATCAACCCAACAAATGCCAGGCAATTTTAAAAAAGTTAAACAAAAAATTGTTTTCTCTCCATATTTAAGGCAAACACGCAATTTGATTGTAAAATTTTTCATCCATATTTTGCCATATTTTATGGAAGGTAATTTTACACAAGCCCCCACCTCGTACCCCCAAAGCTAGAGCTTTCAACACATTGGTGGTGGAAAATAAATTTTCATTTTCAATGTGTTTTGGAGGAGACCAGACCGCACCACTTATATTACCCCCCTTTTGATGTGTGAGCAATACATGAAAGGAGTTGGTTTTCTTTCGCTTTGCAATAATGAAAACGAAAACACTTTAGTTCAAGGTTACGGTATATATTATTGGGGTTACGCAGAAAGATTTTCGAAAACCAAAACAAAAAAGAAAACAAAGTGAAAAAAGGAATTTAAAAAATTAAAAAAAATTAAAAAAAAAAATTTAAAAAAAAAATTTAAAAAAAAAAATTAAAAAAAAATTAAAAAAAATTTAAAAAAAAACTAAAAAAAAATTAAAAAAAATTAAAAAAAAAAAATTAAAAAAAAATTAAAAAAAATTAAGAAAAAAAATTAAAAAAAAAATAAAAAAAATTAAAAAAAATAAAAAAAAAAATTAAAAAAAATAAAAGAAATTAAAAAAAAAATTAAAAATAATAAAAAACAAGTTAAAAAGCAGTAAGTTCGACTGGGCCGAACTTTCAATACCCTCCACCATTTGGAACAAATTTGGAAATTTTCAAAAAATAAAATCCTTTAAAAATTCTGTTTAAATCTTAAAAATACCGAATATATCCCTTATATTGGGGTCTATACGACGTGGACCTACACAGGCATGGTTTGTCATAAGCCATTACCATATTCAAATTCGAAACTTGAAATAAACGGTGAATAATGTAGCTAAAATCATCGAAATATCGTAAATAGGGAGATGCCGTTATATCGGAGCTGTGCGAAGACCTGAACCAGCATAGACAATATTCTGTCATAGGCTGTAGCATCCATTACGAACTTCAATTACTACATCTTCAACAATTTCGGTGGGCATTGTACCTAAACTCGTCAAAATACCGAATATAGGGAGGTACTGATATATGGGGCCTATATGAATACCTGGACCTGCATACACAATTTTCTGTCTCAGACTGCAGTTCCCATTACGGACTCTAAATACGTAATTTGAAACAATTCCGGTAAATAATGACGCAAAAATCATAAAAATACCGAATATCCGGAGGTACCGTTATATGGGGGCTCTGCGAAGACGTGGACCTGCACAGACAATTTTCTGTCATAGGCTGTAGTATCCATTATGAACTTCAAATACCAAATTTGAAACAATTCCTGTAAATAATGTCGCTAAAATTATCAAAATACCGAATATAGGAAGGTACTGATATATGGAGCCTATTCGAAGACCTGGACCTGCATAGACAATTTTCTGTCACAGACTGTAGTTCTCATTACGAACTCTAAATACGTAATTTGAAACAATTCCGGTGAATAATGACGCTAAAATCATCAAAATACCGAATATTGGGAGGTACCGTTATATGGGAGCTATACGATGACGTGGACCTGCACAAACAATTTTCTGTCTTGGGCTGTAGTATCCATTTCGAACTTCAACTACCAAATTTGAAACTCTTCCGGTAAATAATCTCGCTAAAATCATCAAAATACCGAATATCGGGAGGTACCGTTATATGGGCGCTATACGAAGGCATGGAACTGCACAGACAATTTTCTGTCTTAGGCTGTAGTATCCATTTCGAACTTCAAATACCAAATTTGAAACAATTCCGGTGAATAATGTCGCTAAATCATCAAAATACCGAATATCGGGAGGTGCCGTTGTATGGGGGCTCCACGAAGACGAGGACCTGCATAGACAATTTTCTGTCTTAGGTTGTAGTATCCATTTCGAACTTCAAATACCAAATTTGAAACAATTCCGATAAATAATGTCGCTAAAATCATCAAAATACCGAATATCGGGAGGTACCGTTATATAGAGGCTGTACGAAGACGTGGACCTACATGGCCCATTTTCAATGCCAAAAGTCCTGCAGACATAATACACATTTGAGTAAAATTTTATCAACCTACTTCATTTCGTTTGTAAGCTAGAGTGATTTCCACAGACGGACAAACGGATAGGCGGACAGACGGACGGACCTTGCTAAATCGATATAGAATTTTATGCTGATCAAGAATATATATACTTTGTGGGGTCTAAAATCTATATTTCGAGGTGTTACAAGCGGAATGACAAACTTGGTATACCCTCCATACTATGGGTATAAAAAATAGAAATAACCATTTTTCGACAGCGTTTTTATTCTCTCACCTTCATGGCTAGACAGAAAAAAATGTTTCTCAACAGTCTTAGACCCCATGACATTAAAATTAATTTAAAGAAAAAAAATTAGGTTTTTATTAAAAATAGTTTTTTTTTATTTTTATTCATTAAAAAGCCCAACACTTATCGGCCACATTCATGTGCGAACCGATATGACAATTAAAATCTCGACCAAATTCATAGCCATTACTCAGGGGTCCATTGATAATTAAACGCTCCACGGTGTGACGGGCCAAGGGGAAATAATTCGGTGTGGCTGCAGCATTTTTACTACTTCCACCACCTGCTGAACAATGAACCTGGCCATAGTTAATAAAAAATAATTGGGTATTGCTGAAGTCCATGCCGGGTAGAGTTTCATATTTTAAATCTTCACTCGTGGCCTCCTGATCCTCCAGCCATTTTATGTAGGCGGCAAAGGAAATGTTGGCAGCACTGGTGTCCAACATAAAATCTCTCAACTGGCTGCCGTTACGATACACATTGGGCGCATTGTAGAGGTAGTTGCTAGCCTGTACGCGAAAACATTCCTTGATTTTATTGAACGCCTCGTGAATATCATAATTCCAGCCATTGACCAGGGGCGGTGGGGAATCATGCCAACCCTGCTGATCATAGTGTCGTATCATTTCCCGGGCCATTAGATAGCCGAGGGAGGAGTATTTCAGGGACTTGGGATAGTGCAGGGAATACATGGGCGCCTGTAGCAGAGACCAACTGAACTGCAAACGAATTTCGGCATTTGTGGCATAGGTAAATACCCCCTCCTCCAGCGGTTGCTTGATGATGCTGTGATAACCACTTAATTGTTGCAAATACTGCTGGGCACTACGTTCCATTAGCAGATCCAGGGATTTCCAATAGCTTCCCGGTCCATTGATTAGTTTCAAATCATTAACCACATCGTTGTGATAGTGGAACTCTGGCTCCTTGATCTTCCAGGAGAGGGTGCGCAGCTTAATGTCCTTGCGAAAGCTATCGTGCAGCCATCGGGTGTTGGTCTCTACGCTTTGGGCAAAGGCCTCTCGAATGTATTGGAAAATTTCACGCAAGTCATTGAGCACGGCATCCTTGCGATATTTACTCTGATAGATACCGCCCAGGACGTGGGGGAAAAACTGCAAGGTCTGGCGGGTACAGTACAAGTTGCGTTCATTGCTTCGCGGTGCCTTGTCACGGGGCAGGGTGATTTCGGACAATGCCCGGTACATAATGTAATAGGCAAAGGAGGCGGTCAGGCCCTTTCGAGCTATGGTATTCAGGTGTTGAAAATACTCCTCATCGCGCAAATAGAATTCCCGCGGTATCGAATGGCCCTTGCCCAAACTGATTTGCACGAAACGCTGGAATTCCAGGCCATATTTATTCTCCAAAAAGCTTACCGATTGTGGATTGTTGTTGAGATTTTGCATGACGCCATGGAAGCTATTCGGCACCGGCACATTGTAGCGGGCCCGCGTCCTGTTCATACCCCCATTGGGTAAATCCAACAGCTGCCGCTTTTTCATATATTTGCATAGCTCAAATTCGAAGCGTTGTATATCGCCGGCCAGGCGTATGGCATCCGTCTCCTCCACATCCAACCAGGATCGGAGATTGTCTCGAATTTCCATTTGCAATCCCGTGAAAGTTTCATCGCTGGCCTCTGTGGCAGTCATGTAGCTACACAAATTCTTTGGCAATACTGTCCTCTGGGGTTCCTCCAGAATCGGTGTGGGTATGGCCCGGCCCACTGTGGTCCGAGGTATAGTCAGGGTTATGAGTATATCCAAATTGTAACGATGCTTCAACTGGCCGATTACATCAATCCAGCTGTACTGTTTCTCCTGCCACTGACTATCCTTGACATAGGGCAATCCCCCATGGTACTCCACAAATTTCTTTATAAAATCCCTCTCTTCGGCCGAGGAGGCCTGGGCCTGGCTACAAGCTCTGTAGAAATGTTTGGCCGCCGAGTCATCGAATTCTGTCGAAAGTCTTGGGCCATTTAGAATATTTTGTATCTGCATCAGCAACTGATGTTCCATGACATCCGACACTGCCCAGTTGTCCTGGCGTATCGAGGCATTTTGTCCCTGGTACCATCTGCCACAGGTGTATTCATAGAAATCATGGCATGGCTCCTCTTCCAAATTCATAAACTTTAGCATCTCCTTGGACTTGGCGGCATGCAAAATTCTCAGCTGCTGCCTGGCCAAATTTAGGTCATTGTTCTGTTGTTGCTGCTGCTGTGACTGCGACAGCTGCTGCTGTTGTGGACTCACCAACTGACGCTCTTTCTGCTGACCACGCTGCTGACCTTGACCCAGACTTTGTTCAGTCGGCCCAATGACGTTGCCGATTATCAGCGCCAAACCAAATAAAACCGCTCGGCTCGTGACTTGTGTTTGTAACATTTTCACCCGCAGACATTAGAAACGAAACTAAGCAGCTCTCGTTGTGCGTTTTTGAAAATTCCAATCCATTTCGAATTTGCCATTCAAAGCAAAATGCTGATAAGAATTAGTTTTTTTTTTTTCAATTTTTTTTTTAATTCAAATACCAGCAAGCCTTGCTTCCGTAATGTAATAAAAATTTATAAAAACAATTGGTTCAAGTTTAAACCTTTCATTTCGAAAAAAATATAATATGCTTTCTTGGGGGCCTTTGAAAGGTGCATCGGGAAAATAAGAAAAAATGTTTTGAATGAGGCTGCAGTTGGAAATGTGCCATTGGAATATAAGTGAGATTTTGTAAAAGGAATAAAAATAGGACCGCAATAAACTGAACTGGTTTTTCATATAAAAATCATTGTTAAGCCCCATGTTGGGCGCCATTCACAATTCAGGCTTCATAGACAAAAATTTCATGTCTCGCAAGTCTTCGCAGTTTTTTGTCCCACACTGTATATCTGTCATGATATACAGTGTGGGACAAAAAAACTGCGAAAAAGTCAAACGCCATAATTTTTAATTTTTTTTTTTTAATTTTATTGAACGAAAGCAAAAATATCGGAAATAGCATCAAATTTTAGAATAAGTTTAGATTTGTTCGAATTGGTCACCTTTGGCACGAATTATGGCCTTCAGACGGCCAATTTTTTTTTTAAATTTTATGAATGAAGGCAAAAAATTTCGGAAATAGCATCAAGTTATAGAATAAGTTTAGATTTGTTCGAATTGATCACCTTTGGAACGAATTATGGCCTTCAAACGGCCAACTTTTTTTTTACATTTTATGAATGAAGGCAAAAAATGTCGGAAATAGCATCAAGTTTTAGAATTAGTTTAGATTTGTCACCTTTGGCACGAATTATGGCCTTCAAACCGTCACGCATTGCCCGAATGTTGCTCTGCGGTATTTCGGCCCATTCCCGGCGAAACGCTTGCTTGAGGTGACCGACTTTTTGGTATTTTTTAGTGCCAACCTTGCTTTCCAAAATTCTACAGACACAATATTCCAACGAATTGGAATCCGGAGATTTTAGTGGCCATTGTGCTCTGGAAATGAAGCGTGGAACCTCATTTTGTAACCATGTTTGGGTGGCGCGCTCTGAGTTTTGAGTCCTGTTGGAATGTCAAGGCTTTAATATAGCCTGCAGAATATTTTCTCCATAATATTCGGCATTTATTCTGATGCCGATGATGCGATCATCGGCTGTTATGGCGTCCCACACTACCACCATGGCCCGCGCTTGAGTTCTGGTGGCCAGCCGAAGGTGCACATTTTCAGCTGACCTCTTTGGCAAGTCAATACGATCATTTTGTTTCTTTACAAACTGCTGGACAACGAATGTTTTCTCATCGGAGAAAACCGAATTCGGCAGTTCACCACATTCGGTCAAGCGAAGCAACTCTTTAGCTCTTTCGTGGCTATTCTCTTTCAGTTGCGGTATAAGATACCAGTATCACGGTAACGAGCGATGTTACGAGACACAACTTATTTATTCACATTTAACTGCTGGAGTGCTCTAACCATAGCCACTTGTGGTTCTCCAGCCAAATATAAAGAAATAACACTTGAATTCCATCACGAATAACTTTTTTACTGGAAAATGCTCACCAAAATGCTTTTGTACGCTTGTAAAGAATATAATGAGCTGTCACTGGAATAATTTTAACAGCTGTCGGACGAGTGGCTTAGAAATGACAGCAGTCTGAAATTGGTTGTAGTTTTTTCATCATTTTCTCATTGTGGCTCCTTGTGGGTGAGGTACCAGAAGGAGATGTCAGATATCTATCTTCTCCACAGCATATCTTGTGTTGGCAAAAATGTTGGGATGTGTAAAATATGAAGAGAACCGAATGCTTATTTCGCGTTTTGTGGGGGTTTTGGTTTTCAAAAAATGTAATCCTTTGTGGCAGAGGTACCAGAAGGAATGGGCTGATATATCCCATCTTCACAGCAGATATTATGTTAGTGGAAATAACGGCATGTGTGAAATGTGAAGAGAATCGGATTCTTATTTTTGATTTTATGACTTTGGGGGTATGGTCCGATCTCTACCATCTTTATGAAAGATCTTGTATTTATAGAAATATGGAGATGTGCCAAGTCGGAATTAAAGCGGTTATTAAATTCGCGTTTTATGATCTTCATAGATATTTTGACATATTGTGGACCTATATTGTCGATTTTCGCACCTGACCTAGCACTAAAGTAAATATATGGCTACATCATTTGATATGGTTTTAGACCCTAGGTCTCCTTGGACCAAATCCGTTTCAGGACATTTGGAGTTGATCTAGCGATGTCCATCCGTCCGTCTGTCTGGCTGATGCCCACGATAACTCTCGAAGGGAGCATACGATCTGATCCAAAATTGGTATATGGTCTTGTTTTCAAGCTTTGATCGATTTCGGAGATGGACATTATCGGTCCACTCCTTCTGGTAGTACCACAAAAGGTCAAAATTTTCACAGAGAATAACTTTCCTTGCCTCATGGAAAGGATCATCCAATTTTGACCAAACTTTGCAAATACCAAGATTTGCATCAGTGCTATGACAGGAGCGATATTTTTTGATTGATCGACATTTTTTATTGAAAAATCTAAATTTAAATTTCCCGAAATCCAGTTTTCCCTTTCCTCAGCAAATTTTAGGCCTACAATTCTCTCTCTCTCTCTCTCTCTCTCTTTTTATTTGTTGACCACATTTTAATGAAAAACTATTTTACTTAATTTGTTTTTATTTCTGTATTTTTCTGTTTTCTTTTTTTATAAATAATTTATTTTATTTTCCTTTCTTTCTAAATTCCCTAAAAATTAATAACTCCTCTTGAATTCATTACCTAAAATCGAACACTTATCGGCCAGATTGAGGTCAGCCCCAATGGGGCAGTTAAAATCCAAACCAAACTCCTCATCGTTGCTAAGAGGGCCATTTATTTTCAATCTCTCAGGGGTGTGTAAATCCAACGGGCAGCATTCCGATGGTTCCGCCACAGGCTCCTCGGAAAATCTTTCGGCACAACTTATTTGCGCAAAGTTAATGAAAAACAACTGAGTGTTGCTGAAATTCATTTTTGGCAAAGTTTCAAATTTCAAATCTGGATTAAATGCCTCCTGTTTGTCCAGCCAATTGTTGTAGGCGGTGAAGGCCACACTCAGCGCCGTGGCGTCAGCCATAAATTCACTCAATTGGCTGGCATTGCGAAACACATCGGGGGTATTGAAAAAATAGCTGCTCATTTGGGCTCGGAAACATTCCCTCTGGCTGAGGAATTCATCCAACTGGGCGGAATAGGGCTGACGTGTGGTGGCACCACGATCATTTGCATTCTGCTCGTCCAGATGATGTTTGATTAGCTGCCGGGCAATGGCAAAGCCAAGGGAGGAGTATTTCAGGGACTTGGGGTAATTGTATGCATAGAAGGGAGGCTGTAGGAGACCCCAGCCGAACTGTACAATTTTCTCATTACTGCCTAGATGGGTGGCAAAGGCCTCCACAACATTGGAGGCCAAAATGGGGGCCGACTGGCGTCCTCGTTGGGGTGGTGGTGTTAACAGGGCCTGCTGTTGCTGGACATTGTTTAGGGTAATAGATTTCAAAATTTCCCAATAGTTGCCATTGGTTTTAATGCCGGCATAGGTTTGGGGATCAACTCCCCCAACCACCCCTGACTGATACGAGGGTTCACTTATTTGCAGGGAATCAATGGATTTCCTCAATGACCTAGGTATGGCCTCTTTTATGTCACGAAATATACTGGCCACATCCTGCTTGACAAATTCCCGGGTCTGCGCAGGTATGGACATTTGATAGAGGTTACCCATGTACTCGGGAAACATTTGCATTACCTTGCGTACACAATAGGGTTTACGATCCATCTGGGGTAGGGTCAGTTCGGAGAGGGCACGATACATAATGTAGTTGGCAAAAGAGGGTTTTCGGCCACTGATGCCCGTCAAATACTGCAGATATTCCGGGCTGATTATTTGGAAGTCGGTGCGACCCTGACCCTGGGGTTGGCCCATGCAGAGTTGGACAAAATTGATTAGCTTTTGATTGGTTTCCAGTTCAAGGAGTCGCTGTTTCGAGTGTAGGTGGGGTGGGATGGGTGATCTGCCCTGTCTTCGGGGACCATAATTTGTGAGTGGTGGTGGCCGACCACTGTCGGCTTCTTCTCTCTCCCCATCTTCCTCCTCCTCTTCTTCTTCATCTGTTTTAATGGCCATTATGTCGGCCTTTCTCATAAATTTACAGAGATCGAACTCAAAGCGCTGGATATCTCCAGCCAGGCGATTGGCATCTCCATCGCCAAAATCAAACCACAGCTGGAGCTTCTCCTTAATTTCCATTTGTATGGTTTCGAAAATCTCATCTTGTTCATCGATTTGAGGCGATGCCTCGGCATTGCACAATTCCGCCGGCATTATTGTGGTCGAAGGCTCTCTCAACACCGGCCTGCCATTGGGCGCCATCGAGAAAGCAATCAATATGTCCAGATTAAAATCCAATTTTAGTCTTGCCAAAATCTCAATCCATTGATACGCCCTTTCCCGCCAGGTGTCCTTGACATCCGGCAATCCGCCATAGGTGGCCACGAAGCGTTTTATAAATAATTTCTCCTCATTCCAATTGGTGGACAGGCAAGAGCGATAGAATTTATTCACCACCGGATGGGGATTGCGACTGGCATCATCCAATCTTCTTTGCAGTTGTTGCACCACCTTCCGTTCCAAAAGGCCAGGCACCGTTACCACATCTCCATCCCTGGCATCGCTGACATTTTGGTTCTGCAGCCATTTGCCACAGGCATAATCATAGAAATCCGAACAAGGATCTTGTTCCACATTCAAAAACTTGAGCATCTCCCCTCCAGTGTAACGGCGTTCTGTGGCACTCTGGACATGTGAGAGGCCACCACCTAGACTAGCAGCAGCACCATTAGCACCTACTGCTCCACTTCCTCCCACCACAAATCCTGGAGCATTTTGATAATTCATGCTATGACGATTCGACGACTGTTGACTGCGATAGTTCCGATTGTAACCTTGACCCAGACACTGGCCAGTCCAGACACAGCAGCCAATCATTGCCCATAGCATCAGCCGCCCATAGCGTCGCCGATTACTTTGTAACATTTTCACACGCAGACTTTTAAATCGAGACTGACTGCGGTGGTGTTTTCGGAATAATTTGTTTTGAAACTGAAAGTTGTAGTCATCAGAATTGGTGTCTCTTTTTCATGGCATGGCGCGGCATTTGGCGATAAGAAAGTTCTCTTCAAAACAAATTTTTATTATTTTTTGGTTCAAGTTTATTCGAAAACGAGAGCTGACTGCTGGCGGCTACCCCGGGCCTATTGTTGTCAATTGAAATGATTGTTTATGTAGTCAAATAGATTGCTGAATCGATAAAAATGAAAACAAAATTCGAGGGTAGTAGCATAGAAATGGGAGAGATTTTCGATTCCCCCCGTACGAAAATTACGACTCAGTTTCAAAACAGGCTACCGGTTTCATCGCACCATAGAAATTATTTCAGTCATGCATGGGAAAAGTCTAGAATAAGCGATGGTTTCATTGACTTCATCATTGCGGCGCCCAATGTCATTATATGCGTCATAATATTGAAGCGACCTCTAGCGGCAAATAGTGACAATAGCTTGCATCATGAGAATCGTACGAGTTATGATCTATTAGATTAGATAAACCATTCACCAAAAATGATTTCCTTTATTTTATCGCTGTGGCGCCCAATGTCTTAAAATTCGTTGAAATTAGCCTCTAGCGTCAAATAGCGTTGCAGAAGAAATCTGTAAATCTTGGGAGCATCATCTGACGACTGCAGATTTACATCCAGAGCTCATATTTTCTCGTGCGAGACTTATAGGAAGTTAACTATTGGCTCTTGAAGAGTTCAAGAGTTAACCGTTTTTTGAATAAACCAAGGGGGTGAAAGCGACCTCTTGCAATAGAAAGTGTTACAGAAGGAATCAGTAAATTTTGTGAGTTCCCTCTGACGACTGCAGATTTACATCCAGAGCTCATATTTTCTTGTGCGAGAATTTTTTAAGAGGAAGAGCTCGCGATTTAATTTTTTTTTTGACAAATTAGAGTGATAACGACCTGTAGCGACCTCTTGTGACAGATAGTGTTACAGAAGAAATCTGTAAATTATGTGAGCTCCCTCTGACGACTGCCGAATTACATCCGGAGCTCATATTTTCTCGTGCGAGACTTATACGAAGTTAACTCTTCGCTCTTTTGTGTGGGAGAGTTCAAGAGTTAACCTTTTTGGAATAAACAAAGGGTGAAAGCGACCTCTTGCGACAGATAGTGTTACAGAAGAAATCTGTAAATTTTGCGAGCTCCCTCTGACGACTGCAGATTTACATCCAGAGCTCATGTTTTCTTGTGCGAGAATTTTTTAAGAGGAAGAGCTCGCGATTTAATTTTTTTTTGACAAATTAGAGTGATAACGACCTGTAGCGACCTCTTGTGACAGATAGTGTTACTGCAGAAATCTGTAAATTTTGTGAGCTCCCTCTGACGACTGCATCCAGAGCTCATAGTTTCTCGTGGGTGGGTGTATTATACGAATTTTGCTCTTCGCTCTTTTGCGGGAGAGTTCGAGGGTTAATTTTAAAAAAAAAAAAAAAAAAACTAGAGTGATCGCGACCTCTAGCGACAGATAGTGTTATGACCAAAAAACATTTAAATTTGTGATCATGCTCTGACTACTGCAGAGTAACGTCGTACATGTTCATATCAGATTTCTGGTTAATTTGAAGAAAACCTAATGCTTTTTTCGGATTTTATGATCGTTTTGGTTATTCCAAACTTTGACCCTTTGCGGGGGAGGTACCTGAAGGAGGTGACCGATATATCCCATCTTCACACCTGACCTTGGGCTAATAAAAATATTGTAATCTGTGTAATTTGAAAAAAACTGGATGCTTATTTCGGATTTTATGATCGTTTGGGTTGTTCAAAATTTTAAGCCTTTGCGGGCGAGGTACCAGAAGATATGGTCCGATCTCTATCATCTTTATAACAGATCTTGTGTTGATGGTAATATCAAAATGTATTTATATTCCAAATTTTGACCTTTTTTTTTTTTGGGAGGGGGGGGGGGGGGGGGGTGCTGCACTTGATGGACATTTCCAAAAATGTGGAAGAGGAGGGGGTAACTTTTCGCCCCCCTCTATTAGACTACTACTTTCAAAAAAACGCTACTTTTTATAATCTGCAGGAGATTTTTTATAATTATTGAAAAAAAAAAAAAATATTTTGTCGAATATTGTTGTCTCGGTTTAAAAAAACTCCACATTGGCAACCCTACTTCCCAGCATTCAAGATATGGACCAAGTGCTCTCTCTCAAAACATAAAAGCTTTTTTGCCATTTCAAATCGAATTGATTTTTGTAAACAAAATGGAAAAGTCAACATTACGAATTCAGTTTTAAAGCTCTCATTGAGTGAAGTGGAAGTGAGGCTGTTGTTGGAGGAGGTATCGGTGGGACGTAGCAATGGGTGTAATATTCAACTGTGTTCAGCTATTACTCTTGTGGTTGGCAGCGACATCTAGCCGCTTGGCCGTGGCCGAAACCACAACATTTCCCATTTTTAAGCAAGAAGAAGCCATACGAGCGGCCAAAAGTCGTGAAGTTCTGCAGTATATGAATTTAAGCGTTAATCCCTGTGAGGATTTCTATGAGTATGCCTGTGGAAATTGGCCGAAATTCCATGCACCGCCGGTGGGCAAAGAGGATAGTGGCCAGACAATCAAAACAATTCTGGAGGAGAAAATCGAAGAGGATCTCCACAATTTATTGGATGAAAATGTAACGTTGGAGGATAGTTCGGCAGCGCGAAGAGTCAAGGTGTTCTATAAAAGTTGTCTGGAGGCACGTCAGGGTGAGCCCTCACATCAGGCGTTCCTGAGCGACTTTATCAAGTCTAATGGCGGCTTTCCTGCCATACCTGGCTCCAGTTGGTTGGCACATCACCACAACTATGACTGGCAACATGTGGTGGCCATTTTGCGTTACCACTATGGCCTGAGCGTACTCATTGGCATGGAGGTGGACAACAATTACCAGACCATGGAGGAGAATAGTTTGTATCTGCAGGAACCCTCCACAATGATGCCACGTTCCTTGTGTAATGCCAGGACAGCACAACAGATAGATGTCACCGACAAGACCTATGACTGGGTGGAACAGGAGGTAGCCGACAATCTACGGCTATGGCTGTCCATGAAGAAGGAGGATGCCCTTCATGTGGCTGCTGATATGGTAACCTTCGAACATGATCTGTGTAAGGCCATGTATGTGAACTCCTCCAGCCAAGATGAAGAGGAAGAATTCATTGGCAGCCTTAAGCCCGAGAATCGTACCCGAGAATATCCACGCAAAAGTTTGAATCATTTCACGCAGCAGTTCAACAACACCCTGGACTTTAATGCCATTGTTTCGAACAGTTTTGGAGTGGGGGTTACGAAACCGGTTTTCATGAAAAGTCCCAAATATTTTGAACAACTGATTCAGGTCATTGAGGAGACGGAGGAATACAACAAGACCGTGGTGGCCAACTACATTATGTATCGGGCTCTGACCTATTTCAATTTCCCCCTAAATGATACACCGCGCAACAGACCCGCCTATTGTCTGCAGGTGGTGAAGAAATATTTCCCCAAGGTCTTGGGGGACATCTACTATCGCAAATATGCCAATACCTTGGATCAACACAAATTGGCCAGGGTCTTCGAGCAGCTCAAGAAGATAATGGAAGAATCCCTCAACCAGGAATGGATCGAGGAGGGTACCAGACGATTGGGCAAGAAGCGTCTCTCCAAAATGTCACTGCAATTTCCCAGCTATGAAAAATTCACCCTGAACTTGGAATTTGTGCGCAATGACTTTTGGAAAAATCTGCGCATGATCATGGGCGAGGTGAGGGCACACGAAGTAAATCGTCTATTTTCGGCCGAGAAACCCATGCCCAAGGATGAGGTACAGGCCTATGAAACGAGAATGGTCTATAGGCCCTATCATCAATGCATCGACATTGGCTGGGGGGTGCTGCAGGCCCCCTATTACCAGGCTGCCCTACCCCATGGCATGCGCTATGCCATGATTGGCCAGAAACTGGGACAGACCTTGGCCACAGCATTCGATGACCTGGGCTGGACGGCCGATAATCCTGATCACAAAGTTTGGGACTCCCACACCGCGGTGGAGTACTACAAAAATGCCAACTGCTTTACCGAGCAGATTGGCAACTATTTGCACAATGACCCCTACAGCTATCACAATGCCACCAAAATTCGCCGACTCATAGCCCAGAGTGTGGGCTTGAATGTGGCCTTCAATGCCTATTTGGATTGGTTGTTCTACAAAAATCCCAGCAATGACAATGAAATGCTTTCCAAGGAGACTCTGCCCGAGCTGGACTTTACCAATACCCAGTTATTTTTCATAGGCTTTGCCCAGGCCCATTGTGAGTCGCGCAAGAAACCCAAGAAATTGGATCCCCTGAAACACTACCGCATTAGTCCCTATAGCAAACATAGCCTGTCGCGATATCAGGTCAATGGTCCTTTGGCGAATTTCATAGAATTTGGACGAGAGTTTCACTGTCCCATCGGAAGTGAAATGAATGTGGCGGATAAGTGTGTTATTTATTAAAAACAAAAAGCGAATTAGAATAAAGAAAAATAAAAAAAAATATTTGTTTTTAGTTGTTGTTGTTATTTTCAAGCTTCTGCTGATAAGACGACATCACTATTATCTAAGCGGCAGCATAGCTGGAAAATGTGGAGCAAATGTTTTGATGATGCCACTGCATTAGACATAGAGCAAAAGAGAAATCTGAAGAAAATAACAACAGAAAGAGCAAACAATTCTTATCGATAATTGGTGTGGAAAAGCCTGGGTTGCCAGGTTGTTGTTTAAGTGCGAATTCTAGGTGAAATTAAAAATTTATTTTTAAATTATTAGCAGAACCAGAAAAAAAAGAATGAAAACTGAGAGAACGAATAATTTTCATCGATGTTTTGTATGGAAAAACCAGGGTTGCCAGGTTGCTATTTAAGTGAGAATTCTGGGTAAAATAAAGAAGATATTTTGAAATACATAATTATCCGACAGAAACCAGAAAAATCAAAAGATAATACCAACCGAAAGGTGTTACAAACGGAAAGACAAATATATAATATACCCTCCATACTATTGCGGAGGGTATAATAACACTGTGCGATAAAATTTATTTTTTTTTTTCAAAGAAGAGCTAAAATAGTGGACACGAGTATCGGAGTTTTGAATGATTCCCTCGCCATATAACCCGAATAAAGAGGGGAAATTCCGCCCTTCCACATTTTTTAAAATTTTAGGCTTAAGATTTCTTGGTATCCACGAACACTATTTTTGTAAGAAATATTAACCCTCAAAAGAGAAGGGTCAGAAGGGGTCTTTTTGGTACCTTTTTCAAAATGTGGGGAACAACTATAGTTTAGTAAAATCTCTCGGTTTTTTTAATTTTTTCCAGAGGAAGGTATTTGTACTATGATTTCGGGAAAGTATTTTTTTCCTGGGGCGAGGACGACCCGGTTACCCGAATGTTTGACCCGTGAGTCCGGCTTAAAGACACGGATCTACTGAACCGATAATTGGTCACATGATGGACATAATTTTAAACGATTGGGAAGTTATATCCAGATTATCGGTGTTTTGGATCCTGACATATGGGTCTTTGAACCAGGACAACCCAATTCTGCCACGGTTTTTCTAAATTTGTTGCTATTTTAGTTAGCTGGGGCTTAAGATTTGGCACATATTTTTTCTCGTCTACCAAAATGACGTATTTTTCGACTTCTGGGGATTCTTTTTAAGAAAATCCGGATCCGAAAATGTATGATTCGATATAACTCCCGAGCCGAATTTGATATAACTTCCAATAACTCCATCATGCAACCATTTGTTGGAAAGGTATTTTTAATAGCGTTCAAATGATGTCAATATTGTAAATATTGGTTTCGCAAATCCGGGTCTAACCCGGTTCTTACGGGACAAATATTCGGATCCGTCCAAAAAAAATTACATTTCCGGAATTATGGTAAAAAAACCACCTCGGAAAATTTTTCAAAAAAAAAAATAGAGTTCTTACTAAATTCGATGTTTTCAGGACGGCAACATTGTATCAATATTGTAAATATTGTCAAACCCGGTTCTTTCGGGTCAAATATCTGGATCTGTCCCCAAAAAATAAAAAAATACTTTCCCGTAATCGTGGTAAAAAAACCGAACTCGGAAAAATTTTCAAAACAAGAGAAAAAGAGGTTTTACTAATTTCGATGTTTTCAGATCGGCAGGACATTTTGGTATTGAAAATGGGCTATACATAGGTATCAGCCGGGGTTTGACATTTTCACCTCTGGGGTATGTCCAGCACCGGCTACGTGATCCATAGTTTTTCTAAATTCTATAACCTTTGTAAGGAGTCGGCCTTTGAGCAATGTCTTCGTAACTAGAGATATCAACACAAATACAGGGTGACATTAAAAAACTGCAACCAATTTTAGACTTCTGTCATTTCCAAACCACTCATCCGACAGCTGTTAAAGCGAAAATTAAAGAAGCGACTTAATCGAAACCCGCGTCACAGTGGCCGAAAAATGGCTCGTGAGCTGAACATATCACAATATTCCATTCGGCAAATATTGAAAAATGAGCTCGGGGTAAAGCCATTGAAATTCCAAAAAGTGCAAGAACTTACACCGCATCAGAAAGAAACTAGAATCAGACTCAAAAGTGCTAAAGAGTTGCTTCGCTTGGCCGAAAGTGGTGAACTGCCGAATTTGGTTTTCTCCGATGAGAAAACATTCGTTGTCCAGCAGTTTCTAAGCAAACAAAATGATCGTATTTACTTGCCAAAAAGGTCAGCTGAAAATGTGCATCTTCGGTTGGCCACCAGAACCCAAGCGCCGGCTATGGTGATTGTGTGGGCCGCCATAACAGCCGATGGTCACTCTCCGCTCGTATTAATCGACCGTGGCATCAGAATAAGAATAAATGTCGAATATTATCGCGAAAATATTCTGGAGTATGTATTAAAGCCATGAACACACAAACATTTTGGTCGCAGACCTTGGACATTCCAACAGGACTCAACACCATCGCACTCAGCATGCGCCACCCAAGATTGGTTACAAAATGAGGTTTTTCGCTTCTTTTCCAGCGCACAATGGCCAGCAAAATTTCCGGATGCCAATCCATTGAACTATTGCGTCTAAAGTATTTGAGAAAGCAAGGTTTTCTCTTAAAAATACCAATGTGTCGATCACATCCAGCAAGCGCTTCGCCGGCAATGGGCCAAAATACCGCAGAGTTCAGATATGTTCGAATCGGTCATCTTTGGTACGAATTATGGCCTTCAAACGGCCAATGAAACCGCTGCCCGGATGCGACTTTTTTATTGGCAGCGTGTGACGCTTTCATTGGCCGTTTGAAGGCCATAATTCGTGCCAAAGATGACCAATTTGAACAAATTTAAACTTATTGTGAAACTTGAGGCTATTTCCGACATTTTTTGCTTTCATTCACTAAAATTTAAAAAAATGTAAAAATTATGGCCTTTGACTTTATTGCAGTTTTTTTTATCTCACCCTGTATAATCCTGTCTTTCGTTAGGAAAATTGTTACCACGAACAAAAAACTATTTCTAGAACATAAGACAACCCACCCCTTCAAGCTTTGCTCTTTTTTAGTTTAGGTCAAAACGAGGTTATCTCTCAACCCCACAATCATCCATAATTTATAGAAACAAAAAAATACACAACTTATGTTTCAGAAAAAAAAAAAACAAAATTCAAAATATTCACATTTTATTGAGAAAAATATAAAACAGAAAATATTAAAAACAAACCAGAGCATTAACATAATTTAAACAAATTATTTTTTTTTGGAATTCATTGAAGAAAAAAATTAAGGGGAAAAATAGAACACATAAAATCACAGGCATTAAGCCTACTTTACATAATTCAATGTATTGTCTAAAATGAATAGATTAGTTAGTTCACCGTAGCTGGAGGTCTTTTTCATATGTTTTGCATTTAAATTCAGTTTTCTTTTTTATTGTTAATTTTTTATTTATTTTGATTTAAATTTTTCTTGTTCCAAGAAGTGGCAGAAAGGCAGGTTAGTGACATGGGTATGATTTTTTTTTAAATGTTTTAAATTTAATATTTTTTTTAAATTCAAACTCTTAAAATTAAAATTTTTAAAAAACTGAAATGTTAAAAGTAAAAAATATAAATTTAAAAAAGTAAATTTTAAAAATTAAAATTTAAAAAATTAAATTTTAGAAATTTAAATTTAAAAAAAAGTTAAAATTTAAAAAATCTGAATTTAAAATATTTATAATAAAAAATTAAATTAAAAAAAAAATAAATTAAATTTAAAAAAATTTAAATTTTATTAAATTTTATTAAAATTAAATATTTTTAAGTTTTTTTAATTTAAATTTGTTTAATTTTTTTATTTAAAATTATTTAAATTTAATTTTTTTAAGTTTATATTTTTTTTTTTGATTTGGACTTTTTAAATTTAATTTTTTTTTTAATTTTTTCACCCGTTTTATTTCACCAAAAATTAAAATTTACAAAAATTTCAAAAAATTAAAATTTAAAAAATCTGGTTTTAAAAAGTTTGTTTTATATTACAAAATTAAATTAAAAAAAATTAAATTTAAAAAATTTTAAATACATTTATTTTATTGAAGAGAATTTTTATTTATTTATTTTTAATTGTGGTTTGATTTAAAAATACCACACGATGTAAAATTACATAATTAAATTTTTTACGTTTAATATTTTTTCAATTCACATTTTTTAAATTTCAATTCTTTAATTTACATTTTTAAATTTAAATTTTTTATTATTCTTTTTAAATTTAAATTTTTTATTTGTTTTTTTTTTTTAATTTTAATTATTTTCAATTAAATTTTATTAAAATTAAATCTTTAAAATTTAATTTTTTTTAATTTAAATGTATTCAATTCATTTTTTTTTTTAATTAAAATTATTTGAAGTTAATTTAATTTGGACTTTTTAAATTTAATTTTTTTTCACCGGTTTTATTTTCACCAAAAATAGAAATATGAAGGATTTTGCTCTCTCTCTCTCTCTCTCTCTCTTTCGCTGTCGCCATCTCTCCCTCCTCTCTCTCTCCCTCCTTCTCTAATACAAAAACCGTTTCTGTTCGGGATTCATTTTATTGCCCAATTCACATTGGAATTCTCGCGAAAAATCATTAAAGTTGGCCAAAGCCCCTATGACACGCCACATCTCCGGCAAATCATCAAATTCCGCAATATCTTCGGAATAATCGGCACACCATGTCTGGGCAAAGGCAATAAAGAACAACTGATTCTGGCCATATTTCTCCATTAACGGCAACTGTTCTTGTTCGGCCAAATCACTGTTGGCTTTATTCTTCCACCACTGTTGATAGGCCTTGTAGGCCATAATCAGGGCTCCATTATCCGCCACATAGGTGTTGATCAGTTTTTTGTCTTCTGTTTGAATCCATTTGGGGAATTTATACTCCTTGTATTGTTCGAGGAACCATTGGGCACGATTATCGAATTCCTTTTCGGACACAATGTCCCACCATGACTTGGCATAGCCATGTTTGTCATATTTCCGACCCTGTGAATCGAAACCCTTGAGCATTTGTTGAGCCAACAGATAGCCCAGAGTGCCATAGAGTATGGAATGGGGATAGGAGGGATCCCAAAGGAAACGAACCTGCAAGAATTCCACAGGAATGCTGATTTTATTCGTCTCATAGTCATAGTGCGGAAGGGTGTATTTAGTGGGCGGGTCTTGGGGCTTCTCATAGAGTTGCGCCAAATTTAGCCCAGTCTTCCAGTGCCAAATGGCAATGAGATTTTGATAGTAGTTGGTACGGCGCATAAACAACTTCAGCATCTGCTCGGCATGTTGGGAATCTTGGGTGGCAATTTGTAGCTCCATGGCTTCCAGCTTTTCATTGGCCTTTTGTTTTGTCTCACCTCCAATCCAGGTGAGGCGCTGCGAGCTTTGCAACTCCGAACGGAATGTCTTCTTAATATCCTTCCACACCGACTGCAGTTCATTGATCATTTGCATAGTGTGGTAATTACGCAAGAACATGCTCTCCAAGGCATCGGGGAAATATTCCATTACTCTGTTGACACAATACTGGGAATCCTTGGCCAATTTGGCCCTGGGCAAATCGAATTGTTCCAACACCTTCCACATGGTGTAGTTGGCAATCGTGAGCTTGGGTGTTGTCTTGATAACATCCATCAGGGTGGAGAAGTAGTCCTCCGGCGACTCATAGACCTGGGCATAAATCGATTGGTTGAAAATCAAATTCAAATATCGATTAATGTCCACATAGCTGCCATAGGCTGTTTTCAAATCGGCCGTGTAACGTAGGCGGGTAGTCTGTTCCATGGTCAGGCCTTTGTTGTTGGGCAAACCCTCGGCCAAACGTTTCTCCACGGCCAACACCTGTTGGGCCACCTCGGCAGCCCACTCTTCGGACATATCGGGGAAGTAGCGTCTCAGCTGATTCTCAATCGACGTGGTATAGGCCAGACGCAAACTTTCCTTATCTTCCTGCAAATATGAATCACGATCCAAATACATTTTCGGAGCACCCACCATAATCCGGTTCATATCCTTTTCCATGAAATCCGGCACAATTTTCAGGCCAATCAAAACATCCACACCCAGCTTGCGGCGCATATTGGCCACAACACGCAACCAATCATAGCCAGACTCATACCAATTAACATTTGAGACCATGGGCCAACCACCCTCGAATTCGGCCACCTTAACAATGTGCTCCAGACCCTCAGCATCCAATTGGCCAGTTTCCCGGCACGACTGATAGAAGTCCTTAAGCTTGTGATCAATACCCGAATCACTTTTACTCTCAATCGACAACATTTCAGCACACTTTTTACCATACAACTCCGACAGCTGGCCGAGGTGGGAACTTTTGCCCCGGGCCGGGGCGGGATTCAAGTGACCCCAACGACCACAGGCGAATTTATAGAAATTTTGACAGGGTGGCTTGTTTTCGTTGAGGAAGGCCCGCATTTCAGAACCTTTGGCCAGGCGCAGCAGTTCAGAGGTGTAATTCTGTTGAACCGGTATCGCCGTGGTATTTCCCATTACCACCATCAAAATTATTGCCATTCCGGCAATCCCATAGAAATTCTTCCCCATTTTTTCCAATTTGCTCCTCCGATTTGAAATTTTGAAAATTTTTCGTCTTCGACAATTGTTCTTTACTTCGCTCGTTGCTTTACTAAAATGAACTAATTTTGAATATGAGATGGTTTCAAATCTCAATTTCTTATCATATATTTAATTTGTTGTAGTTGTTGTTGCTATTGTTTTTGTTTAGTTGCCTCATGATGCTCACTCATTTCACTTGTTTGGTAGCAGAGCATGTAATTGAGTATTTCTCTATTTTGTATTTGTTTTGGAACTTTGTTTAATTAATGGAATATTGAAAAGAAAATAACGAGGGTGGCAAGAAAAGTTGGGGAGGAAAACTTCAACTTGGCGATGAGACTAAGTGGGTTTCGCTCTAGATAAGTTTACTACAAGGGAAATCGTTATCTATCGCTTTTCGGAAAATATTGAAATCGTGAAAAAAAAAGATTTTTGGAAATCGTTGATACTTTATCCAGCCGTTTGTGAAAACTTATATAGGTTATCCACGTGTATGAATAATTCAGATACTTTTGGTAGGTACTCTTTTTGGTTAAAGAAAATTCCCTTTTTTTGGTTTGTGGCGAACTTAGAAACTTTATCCACACATTGTGGATACAATGTTCACTTTTGGATAATATTTTATCCGCTGTTTTGGGATAACTAAAATACGTTTTTAGGATAATCTAGATTTCTTCTTAAATTTTCATATGCTCCTTCACGCCATTTGGATAACTTAGATACTTTATTCACATTTTTTCGCTTGTCACTTATACTTATCCACTTATTAAGGCAAGGCACATACTTTATCCACACATTCTGGATAACGTAGATATCGGAAGATCGGCTCGCTTTTAGATTTAGATTTATCTATCTACGTTTTTATTCACAAGTTTGTTAATTTACTCTCAGATAATTTATTTACGCCCTCTGGATAACTCAAATACATTACCCAATCGTTTGGATAAGTCAGATACATTATCCACAAACTTTGGATAAGTCAGATACAATATCCAAGTGCTGTGGATGACTTAGATACATCGTGGATAATATATCTAAGTTATACAGAGCATTCTTGATTATTCAGATACGTTCTCCACAAACTTTGGATAGCTTAGATACGTTATCCGTGCACTAGGAATAATTCAGATACTTTTTTCAAGAATTTTGGATAACTCAGATACGTTATCCGTGCACTCGGGGTAATTCAAATATCTTATCTACTCATTCTGGATAACTCAGATACTTTCTTTAAGAAGTCTGGATAACTCAGATACATTATCCGTAACCTGGGGATAGCTCGGATACATTACCCATGCACTCTGGATAACTCTGGATACATCATCCATGGACTCTGGATAACTCAGATACACTCAGATACCCACTTGGGATGAGTCAGATACTTTATCCACGTACTCTGGATAATTCAAATAAGTTACCATGCACTCTAAATAACTCGGATAAGTCAGATGCTATATCCACCTACTGTGGATAACTCAGATACTTTCTTTAAGAAGTCTGGATAACTCAGAAACTTTATCCGTAAACTGTGGATAACTCAGATACTTTATCCGTAAACTCTGGATAACTTAGATACTTTATCCGTAAACTATGGATAACTCAGATACGTTATCCGTGAATCCCGGTTAATTCAGATAATTTATTCACGCAGCCTGAATAACTCAGATACATTATCCGTGAACTTTGGATAATTCAGATACGTTATACATGCAATATGGATAACTAAGATACATTATCCACTCATATTGGATAATTCAGGCATGTTATCCATGCACTCTGGATACTACGATATGTTATCCACATATTCTGGATAACTGAGATAAATTATCCACTCATTTTGGATAAGTCAGGTACTATATCCACATACTCTGGATAACTCATAATTTATTTATGCATTCTGTACAACTCAGGTACTTTATCCGGGAACTCTGGATAACTCAGATATGTTATCCGCGCAACTAAGATACGTTATCCATACAATCTAGATATATCAGATACATTGTCCACTAACTCTGGATAACTCACATACATTATCAACAAACTTTGGATAAGTCAGATACATTATTCTCTAACTTTGGGTAAGTCAGATACTTTATGCATATAAACTGGATGACTCCGATACATTATCCACTAACTTTGGATAACTCAGACACTTTATCCACACACTCTCATAACTCAGATAAGTTATCCACTCACTTTGAATATGTCAGATAATTTATCAATATACTCCAGATACATCCGGCATATTATCCACTAACTTTGGATAAGTCAGATACTTTATCCACGTACTCTGTATAACTCAGATACTGTATTCTCACATTCTGTACAACTCAGATACGTTATCCGTGAACTCTGAATAACTCAGATACTTTATCTATACACTCTGGATAACTCAGATACATTATCAACAAACTTTGAATAAGTCAGATACATTGTCCACTGACTTTGGATAAGTCAGATACTTTATCCACACCCTTTGGATAACTCATGTACATTATCCATTAACTTTGGATAAGTCAGATACTATCTCCACGTACTCTGTATAACTCAGATACTTTATCATCATACTCTGGATAACTCAGATACTTTATTCATGCATTCTGGATACCTCAGATTACGTAATCGTGTACTGTGGATAACTTAGATACATTATCCATGCACTCTGTTTACTTCAGATACTTTATTCACTTATTCTGGATAACTCAGATACGTTATCCACCCACTTTGAATAGGTCAGATAATTTATCAATATACTCCATATAACTCCGATACATTATCCACTAACTTTGGATAACTTAGATACATTATCAACAAACTTTGGATAAGTCAGATACATTATCCACTAACTTTGGATAAGTCAGATACCTTATCCACATACTCTGGATAATTCAGATACTATATTCACGCATTCTGGATAACTCACGTTATCCGTGAACTGTGGATAAGTCATATATTTTATGCAGGGACTCTGTATAACTCAGATTCGTTATTCATACAATCTGGTTAACACAGATACATTATCAACTCACTTTGAGTATGTCAGATACTTGATCCACGTATTCTCGATAGCTCAGAAACTTTATTCGCACACTCTTTATAACTCAGATTTTTCTAAAATTGATTTTCCCAAAAATTTTAGTTCCACCCTCGTTAGTCCATCGCAAACCCTCCATTTTTTGCATAATTTATTTCTTCAATTGAATTAATTGCCGGCGCTCTAACGGATTTACGCTCATTGCCATGGGGCTTTTAATAAAAATATGACCTAATTTCATTGACTACTTGAAGTCATAGTTTTAATTCTCCCTCTCTCTCTCTCCTCTCTCTCTCTTTGCAGGCATAACTAAAAATCCCGAAATTCTACATCATCACACCAGTATCATCAACAACAACAACAAAACTAAGATTTCTATAAGCTGAAGCTGAAAAAAACAAAACAACAGAAATTCTTCCAAATCATCGGCGATTGATGACATTATCTATTCCCGCATCGCGCCCTCAACGTCACAACCTCCCGTACCACCCCTTATCTTTTGTGTATACGTTAAACGTATCTTGAAGTTTTTAAAACTTTCAACCTCCTGGTTTTTTGGAAATTTTGGAATTTTTTTTTTTGAAATCAACGGCATTACAAATTCTGTTTGATTTCAAAGGGACGACGGACGTCATCAACAACAATTTTTGGAACTCTTCCCCCACCCCCTACGCTCCCTAATTATAGAAATTCATTAGTTTTCTCTCACTCTCACAATTGGTGTACGAGAACATTTATGCCCAAACATCGTTAGAACGCTCCAGAACATCATCACACACACGGATTTGTATTGTGCCAACCAGGCCGGAGAAATCTTCATCTTCCTTAATTCGCAAGCAAAGGAAAACGCAATTAATCGGAACAAGGTAAGTTTGAAGGGAAGAGATAACATTTTTATTTTGTCGTTATTTGCTGCCATATACCAATGTCTGGTTTGAAGTTTTTAACCTTTACCGCCAGGGTATGGAAGAAGGGAGGCGGGTTATATTGGGTTTAAATTTTTAAACTAACAGATCTTGAAGGCCTCCCAAAAAGTACATCGATTCTTCAAAATATGAATGACATTCTGCTCATGTCCATCCACTTGAAGTATCAAAATTTCGAATATTATTTTCTTAGAGCCTATTGAAATTAGGTATATGGTTTATTTTGAGATTTACAGTGAAACTTTGTGAAGAATATTCTAGCTATTGCCTAAAATCCTAAGATCTGCCTAAAATGAGAAAAGACCGAGGAAAAATGTATCAAGAAATGTAGAAATAAATTAGCGATTTCCAGCCCTATGGCTGGGGCTAAAGTGGAGGGTATATATCGTTTGATACGGCCAAAACGTGCCTCGGCGAAATAAGACCCTACGTCTCTTTGGACCAAATCGGTTTCAGAAAATTTGGAGTCGATCCAGCGACGTCCGATGACCCTTGACGGGAGTATCCGATTTAATTCAAACTTGGTACATCGTAACATTATCATCAAACTTGATCGAATTAGGAGATTAGGCAATATCGGTCCACTTATTCCGGTACCTAACTCCACAAAAGGTCGAAATTTTCTAAAGAATATATTTTACTGCCCAGAACGAGATAGGATAATCCGATTTTGCTCCAACTTTGCTCCAACTTTGCAAATCCTAATATTTGCGTCAGTTCTAGGATCAGGTGGATAATATCGGTCCACTTCATCAAGTGCCTTCCCCCCACAAAGGGTAAACATTTTAAATAATTGTAACTCTTATAAAATGTGATGTAGCATTCCGATTGTCCTAAAATTTCACACATCCCAAATATTTTTATAAACCCAATATCTGGTTTTAAAATGGAATATATCGGTTCACTCCTTCTGGTACCTCCCCTACAAAAGGTCGAAGTTTTGAATATCAATTGAGCTCATAAAACGCGAATTGTCCTAAAATTTCACACATTCCAATATTTTTATAAACCCGAAATCTGGTGCTAAAATGGAATATATCGGTTCACTCCTTCTGGTACCTCCCCTACCAAAGGTCGAAGTTTTGAATATCAATTGAGCTCATAAAACCCGAAATTAATATCCGATTCCATTTAGACTTGGCACATATGAATATTTCTATCAACACAGGATCCGGTTCTCTTCATATCTCACATATCCCATTCTATCAACACAAGATCTGCTGTGAAGATGGAGTATATCGGTTCACTTTTTGTGGTCAAAATGTTGAATATCCATGGGGCTCAACAAACGCGAAATTAATATTTCCATCAACACAAGATCTGTTATAAGATGGTAGAGATCGGACCACGTCTTCTGGTATCTCCCCCAAAAGAGGGTTCAAGATTTACATGACGCTCAAAGAAAGCGAAATATGCAAACAACTCTCTTTAAATTTCACACATACAAACACACAATCGGTTTACCCAAACTGAAATAGTACCAAATTTAGTACCATCCTAGTTCTTTTCGTATACAAATTTCGAAAACTACTTTTGTATATCCCAATGGCACAACAAACCAGTACTGTCCACTATAAGATCCAGTACCGCTTAGTACATTTCGTATACATTCCACAACGAACCACCTACTCCTCAACTTGGATTACCATTCCAAATTTATAGTTTTTAGCTCCTTTGGTTCACATAATACCAAATGCTACCATATATAAGAAGTTTTGGTACTGATTTAGAAACATACGTAACTTGAAGTTATGCCCGTGAAGATAAATTTTAAAATATAAAAGCAAAGAAGTATTTTGTGTTGGTGCGCAAGGGGTTAATTGAAAAATAGTTTTTTTAATATTAATGATTTTTACCATTTTTTTTTTGATAAATCAACGCATTTTTAAATTAATTTAAATTAAATTAATTAAATAAATTAATTTAACAGGAAAATGACACAATTTTCCGACGAGGACGAATAACCAGAATGGTGTTGGCGGTAGGGAAACTGCATGGAAAATGCTGAATTGCACAAAAACTATGCTAGCTGCGTCATTGATGAAAGGTCTCGAGGAGTACTTTCTGGCTATATATGCCTTATATTCCCAACTGATTTCAGATAATCGAATTTTTTCCATTTTCTAACCAAAGTGGCGGTTTCGGTAGGGAAACTTCATGGAAAATGCTGAATTGCACAAAAATATGCTAGCTGCGTCATTGAGGCGGGTCTTAAATGAAAGGTCTGGCTTTATATGCCTCGGTAAAAAAATGGTAAAAATCATTAATATTAAAAAAAAAAACTATTTTTCAATTAACCCCTTGCGCACCAACACAAAATAATTCTTTGCTTTTATATTTTAAAATTTATCTTCACGGGAATCTTGAGGTTGGATTTTCCAAAAACCCTTTTGTACATCTATCCTGTACTTGTAGCAGTGACTCTCATTCCAAACTTCAGAATTTTAGAGCATTCCGTTTGTTCAATACAAAGTAGTGTATAATTTTAAGTAAATTTTAATACTTTTCTTACGAAGCGTTTCATGGGTTCTCAATCAGTCAATCAATTATTTCACGCTTTTTTTGTTAAATATATACGAGTAAATAAACATTCAATCATTGATTCGAAAAGTGCAATAGCTCTTATTGAAAGAGCCATTATTTTACTTTAATTTATTACTTATTTATTTTTATTTTCTATAGAAAAATGATATTGAGAACAAACTTTATCCTATAATTGAAGCCAAAGTTTTTCCACTAAGTTGTGTGTCCACTGGAATACCTTCAGCCACGTTTTCCGGTAGTACCGGCTTTTCCACTTTAACTGGTGGTGCCTCGTAATGGTAACCATCATGGTTTACTCTATACACAGGTTTATGTCTTAGGTAAATTATTTTTAAATTATTTCCATATTTACTGCCAAAATAACTAGAAATGACAAAATACCAAAATTATTCAAGATTCGTAGAAGCGGAAGAAGTAATATATTTACTTATATCCTTTTACTGAGGCAGTTTCTGCTGCCGGGACCAATGCTATTACCACTGCCAATGCTACAGCAAAAACGAAGAACGCCTGAAATATTTAAAAAAAAAAAATTTTGCCTGATTCTGATTTTGATATACAGTGTTTGAATATAAGTAGATTACTTTCGGAATCATGCTGCGATATGCTATCTATTCCCGTTTTACAATACTACTGATTGTTGCCAACCCGAAGGAGGATCTTTTAAAGTCTAATTTGACAGAACTCTTCACAAATCTACAGGTTTCGGATTATTGACCGACCTCATATTGAATGTGGAATTAACAAAGATCAGGTATAATTTATTCATGATCTAATTTTGCTCCACCACGTATAGGTTTGGTGTTTTACACAGCATCCCATTCATAGACATGCTAATTAGGCCTATTAAGTTCTCCCTCTTAACAATTTCTTTAGAAAATTTCATAATAAAAGTGCCAAACCTTTTTTTGATATTTTTAATCTATTTTTATGAGCAAATGCTAACAATGTTATCTTTGCTTTATTTTAATTCAATGGACTTTTTTGGTCGGATGTATTGATGAATGAAACTAATTTTTAAATTAAATTTTAAATTTTGCAAATTTATACTTTAAACATTTTAAACAATAAAAAAATGTTTTTTGTCATAGAAGTTATTTTTAAAATAACTACTGGGAAGAATATCCCAGACAAAAAAAAAAAAAAAAAAAAAAAAAAAACAAGGGAGCTGATGATGATTGGTGGCTCTTTTTGAGACTTAGGTATTCCCTATCTTACTCCACTAATAAACAAACCTTGTTTTTATAAAAATTTTAAATAACCATAGAAAGTTTTAGGTACTACAAGAATAAGTTAGAAAGCTTCAGGCGGGGTTTCGACCGCCATATATACCCTCAGCATTTGACCATATATTTATTAATATTTTATCTTAACAGAATGTTTGTAGAAATTAATGCAGCAGGGACCGACAGGGAAAACAATATTTTATTTTGCACATAGAAGTTTGTTGACATAATCTGGACGAGGATGAGAAGGGGGTTACCTAATATGCCAAATTTTGCAATTCACTTTAGGCTGATATAATTATAAATGCGCCAAGTTTGGACGAAATTGGGTACGCCCCTCCAGTTTTATATACCTATATATATGAAAGAAATCCATCAGTTGAAACGGATAAAGCTAGAATCTTGTAATTCTGTATGTAGGTCGATTTTGGGGTCTGTTGGGTTGATACAAGGCTAGGTTTTTGGAAATTGCATATATATATATATATAAGTATGTAAATCTGGAGGGGCGTACCAAATTTCATCCACACTTGGCACATTTATAATTATATTAACCTAAACTGAGGTGTGGAATTGGACAAATTGGCGTGCCCCCTTTTCATCCTCATTCAGATTATGTCAACAAACTTCTATGTGCAAAATATAATATTTTTCCCCTGTCTGTCCCTGCTGCATTATTCATACAAATATTCTGTTAAGATAACCTAAACTGAGGTGTGGAATTGGATAATTTGGTTTACGACCTTCTCATCCTCGCCCATAATATGACATCAAAATTGTATGTTCCTAAAAAATCTCGGTCGGTCCCTGCTGCATTATTTCTACAAACGTTCTCTTCAGATAAATTACTAATATGGTGCCCAGAAAGGTATACACAAATAGATGGTCAAATACTGAGGGTACATACGAGTCGACAACCTGCCTGAAGCTTTCTAACTTGTTCTTGCAGTATCTAAGATAGACAAAAGAAGTAATTTTGAGGCCGAGGTAAATCCATAATTCGTTCTATCGCTATTTAAACATTTTAGAATATAAATTTGCAACATTTAAAATTTAAATTAAATATTTGTTTCATTCACCAATACATCCGACCAAAAAAACCCATTGAATTTAAATAAAATAGAGGTGACATTGTTAGCGTTTGCTCATAAAAATAGATTAAAAATATCA